TACAATGCTTGGAACGTTTAACCGTAGTGAATGGTTATTTTTATGCGCTTTAATTTTGATTGTAGTTGGGTATCGAACCCGTGCCACTATATTTATTACAACGGTTATTTGAGTCAACCGTTGTGACATAAATTTTATAACAACGGTCATTGAATTGTGATTATAAGTGTCGTGTATACAACCACACTCTACACAATAACGCTTGGACTCGCGTGATTATACGTGTTTCTAGATCGTTGTTATATGGGTTTTCCGTAGTAGTGGCATCAACTTAACATTTTCCTCTTCATGAGGCATTCATCATAAACTTAACACAATAGTTAAAAATATATAATTTCTTGTAAGTACTCTTCAAACAACTATCGAAAATAGAAACAACTAAAAAAATCGAGTCAAACGACCCAAAATCGGTCAAAATAAGGGTTTGCGGTCAGCCCTCCGCAGACACCCAACATCATTCATCCTCTCTCAATCGCCTGTCATCGTTGACAGTTGGGGAAGTTGCGCTCATCCTGGAGCTTTGACAGCCGAGTCGTCACTCGTCTAACCCCGCCATCGGTGACGTGTTGGTGCTTTATTCCCCATGGCAGTAAAGGTTGGCCCATCACGTAGGTGACTCCTGTCACCGTTGTGCATAACGCAAAAATAAGTGTTTCTCCATGGCGGCACCTCCAAAACTTCGATTTCGATCCCAGATAACCTCACACGCACATCAATTCATCAAACATGAAAAATACAACATTTAATCACATCAAACATCACGGGTTTGACATATACATCATTAATTAAACATGGAATCATCATCACATCTTACCAAATAATCATCTATGCTCATGAACATCAAAGATCAGAATTATACATATAAACCACCCGAAATTCAGCAATTAACATAGCACGAAAACAATATCACATCACAACAATCTAGAGGGGTTTTGTATAAACCATCCCAAAATTCAAATCTCTCAACAATAGAGGAAAAGTAAAGGAAAAAAGGAAAGAGGATAAGGAACCATCTCTATTCTTCATGCTTAAACACTCATATTAATGTAGGAAGATTAGTTGCGTATATCAAAGAAGAAATCGCGCGTCGGAAAGCATTTTAATATTTGAGCAATTTTTTTTGTTTTAATATTTAAGCAGTTCTTATTTTATTTATTTTATTTAATTATGTTTTGGATTAAAGGTCCATAAGGTCCAACCCATTATAATTATTTTATTTTATGTATTTAAAGACCTTTGACGTGGCCATAAGGTCCAACCCATTTAATAAAATTGAGAGTTTTCTTTTCTCTTTCTGGTGGATTCCAGAGCTTTTTTGACAGATTTTGCGCTTGCAGCCCTGTGTTTTTTATTCTAAGTATAGCGTTTGCTATTATTCCCTAGAACTTTCGACTACGTCACATATCATGAATAATTTCCCTCTTTACCTCAAATTTGCAGAAAAGCTTCAAGCTTTGACAACGAAAGTCCTTCTCCTTCATTTGTTCTCCTAAGATTGCCTCTTTATCTCCTTAACCTCTTTTCACAAAATGTTATTCTCCTCCTCTCTCTCTCTCTCAACTTTTCTCTCTTATTTAAATAACCTATTTCATTTTACTTATTCCACTATTCCCCTCAACTCTTACTAATTCGATTTAACTACTCATATTTCTTTAAGTTTTAATCTGTTGCCTCAAATCTTTTTTTTTACATTTTCCATTACTTCTAATATTTAAAATAATAAACAAATATTTTATTATTAAATAATTAAAATACTTCACTCAATTTAAATAAATTATTAAAAACACTCTAAAAGCTCATTTATTAAGAAAATATGAGAATAAAAAACGGAGTGTTATAACGATTATGTAATGTTTTTAGTTAAGGGAATAAAGTGAAATATTAAATTAAGTTAAGGGATAAAAAGATGTATTAAGTCATTTTTTAATATTGTTAATAATTCAGAATGACATGATAAATTATAATTAATCGATTATTTTTATTAGACAAGCGGATAAACGAGTATGAGTATGGATATTTAAATATCTATAGAGTATGAGTACAGATATAAATATTGGGGCCGTGCAAATACAAACTCGGTTACGACGATTTTTTTAAAGTGTGAATATGGAGACAGATACTATAATATCCTGCTCAAATATTGTTCATTGACTTCTTAGTTTGTACTCTTAGTTTCACCAATTTGTGTGTAGTTTAGCTCCTTGTAACATTTGATTGATTTAATTAGACCCCAAGAGTTTCAAGAAAAATAAACTAAGCGTTGTTCTATACTTATCGAATTAAATCAGGATTTTTCACATGACTAAGGCTTTGTTTGGATTGATGGAATTGGATGGAGCGAAATGTGATTGAATGAAATGATATTTCATTGTTTGGTTCAATTAAAATTGGATGGAGTGGAGCGGAATGTGATGCAATGGAATGATCTTCCATTGTTATGTTTATTTAAAATTGGATAGAGTGGAAAAGAATGGAGTGGTATGTTTCATTTCATTTCATCATTAACCACCATATTTTTTACTTTCTCATTTAGACGAAATGAACAACTTATCTTATTCTAGTCCAAAATTTCTAAATAATATAATGATATTTTCGTTCCACTCCACTTCATTTTATTTCATCCTAATCTGCTTCAATCATTTCATAATATCCAAAGATAACCTAAAAAAACTTATTATATAAACTTAAAGAAAAAAGTTTCATAAACTAATTTATTTAATTGTATCAATTGTTAATGGCTTTTTATTTACCTATTGTTATGTATTGTTCTTATAATCATGATTGAAGTTATATATTAATATATCACGACCCATAATGTCATCTGATGTTCTTATAATTTAAAACAAAAAATAAAACATTATCGCATGTGTAAATAGAAACCAAGATAATTTATAAAAAAGACACAAAAGCTTCATATCCATAAGTCAAAATCAGTTCTACAAGCCAAGATTATTCTACTCTAGAACAGTCAACCATAATAAAATCAATTACATGTTTCTGAAACGACTTTAATCTCTCTTAAATTAAAATGAAACCCTAGCATAACATTCTTCTTTGTTAATCACACCCGAATTATGAACTTTGGATCTTTGACAATGGCATCACCATGCTTCTTTGATCTATTACACTTCCTATTTTTATAATAATAAGATACTGGAAGATAATTTAGTGCTTTTGTGATCACAAGATTGAGTGGAGCTGGATACAAATCTTGCGAGCATGATCTGAAAATTCCAAGAAAATAACAAAAGAAAACATAATTAGAACAACACGAGGTTTAATTCATTGAAACAAAAAAGTTTTGACTCATAAAATGTGATACAAAAAATTCAAGTAATCATAAAAGTTAAGAAACAAGAAGTTTTCACACGTTACCTTGGAGTAATTGAGTACTGCTTATAATTTTCTTGAGCATTTTCTTGAGCATTATCTTTCCGAATCTTTTCATCTATAATCTGAAATATATAACAAGTTATTAGAACCCAAAATTAACATGAGGGTGAATTCAAATCATGAAGATAGGGCATTTGTATATCAAGAATCAAAAAGATATATAGTTGAAAAAAACATTACCTGATAATTGAAATATGAGTCAGGATGAAAAGAAAGGTATTTCTTTTCTTTGGTAGAAGCAATATTTTCATTCTTGAGAGCATTAGGGTTCCAACTCCATGGAGAAAGAAATGAATCATCTTTCTCAAGAAAAGACAAGAATCTTGCATCAAGCTTTGTGTCCTTCAATCTCTTCGTAGCATCAGCGTTATCACTAGTTACCATGGTATCAATGAGATCACTTTCCTCTTTTGTAAAATATATGCACTTCATGGTTCTTGAGAGGCTAAGAGAATAAATGATATGTTGTATTTGATGGAATATGAAACTGTCAATCTAAAATATTAATTGAATAAACGGTAAAGAAGGTAAATATATAAGGGGCGTGTGACAGCTAAAGATGGCTTTGAAGCTATACAAGATATGATTTACTATAAAGATTTTTTTTCTGTTTCCTAGTGATATGGGACCTTATTCAAAATAAATATATTTCCAAGGTGTTAACAGAAATAGTTGAGTAAAAATCTTTTATATATATAATTTTTTAAATGTTGTATAATATATCTAAAAAGATTGTGCCAATTAAGCAATTAAAAAATCAATTTTGATAGTATTAGTATCTATAAAGTAAGTCTTATAAAATACAAAATAATATATCTTATGTGTACAAAATATTAAGAAATGAATCTTTATGCTTTTATTGTTGATCAGTTGACCTATATTGCGATAGTTAAATCATTAGAGACAGTGAATGTAAAAATTTTGGATTTAGAAATTGTTCACTTTTTTTTAGTCATCTCTTAGATTTACTTAATTTGATTAATAATTTTATATTATTATAAATTATACTTCATTCTTATTTACTTTATTTTTGGGTGACATTATCAGTTTTGTCTTTCACATTTATTGTATATAGCACATTCCAAAAGCAACAAACTATAAATAGTACCAGGTTTAGTTGATACGGTTCCACTGATAAATCAGTCATCTGAACCACAGTTCGACTAATGAACTAGTCACCCGAACCAGTCTATCTTGCATATTTTTAAACCAACTCATCTATATCAGGTCCAACTTGAACCAACACACCCAAAGATATTTGGTTAGAATAATGGATTTGAAATTTAAACCCACTAATATGGGATATATAGTTATTAAATATTTTCAACAAAAAAAATAGGTCCCAACAAAGGAGAGAACACTTAGTCGTTTATAAAACTGATCCTATAAGCTATTATTATGAATTGCCATTTTAGCCTTATAAATCAATCCTTTTATAAAACTAATCAAATAACACGGTATTGAATTAGAGAACTACCATTCAGGATATAGCTGATCTACAATTCTTCTACATATAACAAAAATTACCTTCAATTACACAGTTGTATATTTCCAATAAACTTTACATCAATAGAAGAATGGTAGCCCCAAATGAAAATCCACTATCTCTAAAACTCAGTATGATATGGTTTGTAGTTGTACCTGCCCCGCACACTGGCCGGAGATTGAACGCCTCTGTCACTCACCATATCATAATAATCTATTTCACTATTATCTGAGTAAAGACCATTTTGGTTTACACTTATTTCAGAACCAGCATTACTGCTAGTTGCATGTGGAGAACCCGAGAAACTAACATTTATGCTTCGCCGATGTCCTGACTGCACACTATACATTGCAGAGGCTGGAATGTTTGTCGTCAATGGTCGCATATTGCCTGGAACCCTTTTTCTTATATCCTGTTCAAAGAGAAACAATTGAAATAATTAAGGGGAGAAATACAAAAATGTTAATGGAATAATTAATAAAAAAGAATGAAGTGAGACAAAGACTAATTGAGGAACTTTCAAGTAATCTTGAAACACTATGCATCCAGAAAAGAAATAAGTGATTATATATAGCATTTTACAGTATTTTATACAAGAGTAGTGATTGACACTATGTAGGAGGTGCATTACAAATTTATTCTGAACAGGTGAAAGAAAAATACGAAATTTGCATATGCATACCATATGCCTAATAGCCATATCCAAGGATTTCTTCGAGAGTGTTCTTCCAAAACCGGAGCTATCTGGAGATGGAGATGGCTTGCCAGATAGAGTACTACGTGGAGAGTTTTTGACATCCATCTTAGGAGGAACTAGTTTCCTCATATTAATTACCCGCTCAACCATTTTGGTGCCCACTGCAACCGGACTGACTTTGTCATTCGCTTTGGAATATCCACGATTAACAGCCGGCATAGAGCTTCCACTTGTGCGAGAAATGTCGTTGGTGGGCCGTCCTCTAGAAGGAGAGCACGATTGCCTCTTTGGTCTTCCACTAGAAGCAGGCTCAATAGACAAAGAGCGTGCTGACAGTGCTCCAGGTCTTCCCCTAGTTGCTGAAACTGACCTTTCCGAAAGTGTTGTCCTCAAATTGGGGGGAGCATCAAGTGAAAAGTCAGGCATTTCCGATGGCTTCCATGGTCTTGATATCGCTGTTGGTGAAGTTCCACGTGGCGGTATTGGCTGCTTCAACAAGGCTGGAGCTGGCTTGGGTATTGAAGAAGTCTTAACTGATGGAGCAGAGATGGTTGACACATTTGATGGTGTGGATGATCGCCGTGTAGGTGTCGATGCCCTTGATTCAGGTCTGGAGTTAGATAAGGTGGGCCTGGAATTAGATAAGGTAGGCCTGCTGTTCGGAGTTGAAGACCTTGTAGTAGATCTTGACAAGGGTGTTGAAGACCTAGAAGGAACTGTGGGTTTAGCTGCAGGAGCTGTAGTCGTCTTGATGGCGGGAACTGTACTCTTAGCAGAAGGAACACTGGGCTTGGCTGCAGCTACCATTGTCCTACTTGAAAGTATCGATGTCCGGGAAGTAGGCGTTGAAGGTATCAATGTCCGGGAAGTAGGCGTCGAAGGTATCGATGTCCGGGAAGTAGGCGTCGAAGGTAGCGATGTCCGGGAAATAGGTGTTGAAGGTATTGATGTCCGGGAAGTAGGTGTTGAAGGTATCGATGTCCGGGAAGTAGGTGTTGAAGGTCTAGATGATTTTGAAGATGTGGTTAATGTAGACCGCCCCGTGGGAGTTGCAGGTCTTGATCCTGGATTCCCTGATGATGAAGGCCTCCTGGTTCCACCCCCTGAAGCGGTCAACCCAGGAGAAGAAGCTTGTTTAGAAACCAAGTTGTTCCTTCTATGCTCCGGTGGAGGATTTGCCATCTACAACCACAACATAATAAATACAAGAAGAATGACTTCTGGCTAGCATAAGATAATTGTTTAATAATGTTATCACAAGAGTTTAAATTAAGAATTATCAGTTTACTAATATATTAACAAATATTAAGACAGAATAAGATTTATTCATAAAAGAAGAATACGAATCAAACGAGCAAACAAGAAAAAGAGATAACAACATAACAACAGAGGTATCCTGTGCAAATCTGAGACAAAAACTACAATTCCTGAAAACCAGGAATTTAACGCCAAAAGTATAATTTCATTAGTGTACTCAAATCCAATGTAAAGAAGACATCTTCCACAGACTATGACATGATCCAAAATATTTGTTAATTTGCTTACTTTAGATTTTAATGGCGTGGGACGTGTTGTTGAAGCACCGAGCCGACTCATAACAGTTTTTTTAGTTTCCATCTCCAAAGAAGGAAAAAGGGGAGTCCCAGGAGGAGTTAGAAGCCTGAAAAGACAATAAGTATGTTGAGCCCCAATTGAACATGAATCACTTTCTTACATCTTAAATAGACTTTAGAGCATGTCAGAGAAATGTAATATATATGGCAGGTGGCTAATAATTTCACATTGCATAGCAGTGTTTATTAACTTATTTCTCGGTGCTTCAGACATCAACATCTATGCATGAACCTTTGTACAACAAAATCACCAAACCTTATTCTAGAGTTGACTGCATAGATCATACCCTTAAGTTTCACTCAACACTAGAACTTTGTAGCATTAGTTCTCTCTTTTCTCTTGTACTTTTGTTGTGTTATTAATTTCAGTTCATAATGAAGAGATCCGTTATTAGAATAAGAATAATATTAGTAACAAAATGACAACAGTGACATAATAGCACAAATAATGAAATTAAGCCGATTGCTGTCTTTTTAAGCCAGTGAGAATGGGGAAGCACTGGCCACTGGGCTACAGTTTTTCAATAAATAAAGTAACCATTATCTTCTAAAAGATAGCATTTTAGAAATTTTGTCCATATCAACATTATCATAATAATACTAAAACAGGAAAACCGCTGAAAATTATCCTCTAAATGAGCTTAATTGTGATTGCACAAGGTTTCACCCACTTTGGATTTCTAGTGAGATAAGATCATGATATATTTAAAATTAAACAGAGGGTAGATTCACCGTTAATTGCGAAATTTGCAGATTTAGAGAAACTTATCCTAAAACTTGAGTTCTGAATAACAGTCCCCGTTACACATCTTATTTCCCAAGTCCCATGAATGTATTGAAGGCCTTTTGTCATCATTTAATCACATTGAACTACCAATACTCCTAACCCCTGTCCGTGTCATCTGTCAAAGATCAAGTAACATCGGCACAATATGACACAATGCCCACTGAATCTATAAAGAACCGTAATTAGCGTCAATGTTAACTGTTAACAAATAATAGTAACACCACATTTTATTTGGAAAAAACATGCTATATCATTGGACCCTATATTACTATTTAAGGAATAAGCTATGGCTTTTAATTTGTTTAAGTAAGATGAAGGACTTTAATGTTAATGACAATGAGTGCTACCTACACCTATACTCACGGGGAAATAAAAAATAAATGGAAACTTCCAACCTAATGACCAGACATCTTTTACATTTTCTTTATTTTTTGCCTTCCCTTTCATGTGATAGATCATGGAAAAAGTTGAAATACTAATACCACATAATTAAAAGTACCAAAGATAGTATGAGCTAATATCAACTGCAAAAACTTTACTTTCTCTGAAAATAGAAACCACATTGTACAATCTTTTATCCAACTAAAAAACAACCTTCAAGCTGCATTATTAAACTAATTACCAAAACAGAAAGCCATTATCACAAATATTTCATAAAAAAACCAAAGATGAAAAGGCAAAGAAAGGTACAAGGAACAAACACATACCATTCATAGTCATTCTTATCAGTTTCAGAATTGAGAAAATCATCCGCACCAGTCTTACGCACAGGAGCTTCAGTTGATGATGGAATGTTAAATAACGGAGAACTCCTCGAATTTAAGCCTGAAAGGTACAAAAAATTACAAATGATACCAACAAATCAAGAACAACAAAAACAAATTCAACAACAAATGATTTTTCAGTTCTTCACCATCATCCACCTAAAACTAAAAAACATAAATTCACCACAAAAATAAATAAATAAATAAAACTACAATACATAATAATCATCAGCATCAAGGTTTTATAAAACGGTCTATCACCGCCAACCCAGACGCGACAAAACAGTATTGAAAGGTGCCGATACTGAAAGGTGCCTATACCGATATCGTTATTCACCGTTTTTATGATGAAAAACATATTGTAGTTAATTCACATTGCGACGACCGCAATCAGTATCGCAACATCGGTAAGAAATCGTGAAAGTCTTTACGCGACCGCGGTCGTTATTTGTTGATCAACATTAGGATTTTAAAAAACGAACCTCACCGTTTATCACTGTTTTTTTATATTAAAAAACAAATTGTAGTTAATTCACACCGCGACGACCACAATCAGTATAGCAACATCTAAACTATCCGAAATCGCGAAAGTCATTACTTGCATGTGATCGTTATGTAAAACTTAGATAAACATGATGAATCAACAAAAACCATAACCATTACATCAAATAAGTGCTCTTCATTTCAAAATGTGTTATTTATACTAGATTTATCCCTAATTATAATTTTATAGAAAAAGTTTATCCTTAAAATAATTAACAAAATTACTAAATCATCTATCTATCTATACACAAAATTAACGCATTAAATACACTACCTAATGCAGAATCAACAAACTCCTCAGTAGAATCTTGTAACAAAAGATCATCATTCTCATCCTCGCAATTTCTCATCTGATTGAACAACGCAAGCTCGTCATCTTTATCAACAAAAAACGAAGACGATCTGGAAATCCCCAATCGGTGACGCCTCTGCGTCACCGCGGCATGCATTTGCGATTCCGAAGCTCTGAAGCTACGATTCATTCCGAAAATGTTGGTGATTATGAATTTAAGGCTTAGTGGTGTGGTTTTTGTTGAAGAAAGGGAGTGTGAGTGGGGGTTCTGGAAAGTTCGAATTGAGAAAACGTGAGAGAGATGAAAGTGAGAGTGGCATTAGTGGAATTGAGGAAGAGGGTGGTGGAGGAAGGAGAAGGAGAGAAGAAAAGAGAAAATAGAGGATGTGCAGTTGTTGTCGTTACGTTACGTGTTTCTATCACTTGAATGCTACGTTACATGGGTTTGGCTTGATTTCATCGATTAGTTGGAACCAAACTATAATTTTTAATCACCAAAATATGCTTTTTATACTTCACATTCCGGATACATTTATAATCATTAAAAAAAATTAGATTTATTGAATAAATAATATATCTAATCATTATTTTATATCAGATATATTAATTATTCAATGGATTTAAAAAAATTATTACTTATAAATGTGTTCAGATGGCGTATTCTTTATTTGAATTTAAGGTGAAAAAGAGATCCGATCCGCTGAACATATATGTTTTGTCATCAGTTTTTTTGAAGACGTACTAAAATTTTAGTCTCACGATTCGTGTCCTTAATTATGTTTGTTCTGTTATATCTTGTTTTTTATGTTTTTGTGAAGTATAATTAAACGGAACGGACATTACTCATTTATCATCCTTAAATATGAGTATTATTTTGTAGAGTTACATAAAATAATCTCTTATTCAGAAAGAATGACTCTGAACGAAATTGTTCTCTTAAAAATTTTAATCATTATTGTGCGTTTATAGTTGAGCTTGAATTCATGACTTAAGATTAAACTTCTGAAAAAAATTCATATCATCTCATTTAAATAATCTTGAATTTTTAGTCTATTCTTTTTCTTTATTGTTTAAATTATTTTTGTATTTTTAATTAGTTATAAATGTTTTTTCAATATATTTTCCCAACGGTGACTTTACAACCTTGCACTTATGACTAATGCAACCATCCCACCTAAAAGCGGTTTTTGCATGTTAGTGTTTTTGTTGAAATATATAGTGTATGTTTCGAACTACGTTTTAAGCTGCATTTCCACAGTCTAATGCATTTTCATTGCGATTTTAAAGAAGTTGGTAGTTGTAGAGTTAAAAAAACATGTGTTTTTTCGCGGTAATTTTATAGTTTCAAACACAACATATAATATATTTGTTTTCACGGTATAATATGTCTAAGAAGTGATTCCAACTAAAATTAGAAATTCTAATTTAAATTTACGATAAAATTACGGCAAAATACCACTGAACCGCTGAAAGTGCAAAAAAAAATTTCTAAACATGAAACCAAACACATGCATAACTAGGGGTGTTCGCGGTGCGGTTTGGGCGATTTTGAAGCAAAAAATCATCCGAACCACAAGAGAAAAAAACATGCGGTTCGGTTTGATTCGATTGACTTTTAAAAATAAATCTGAACCAAACCAAAGCAAATTAATGTGGTTTGGATTGGTTCGGTTTTTTCGGTTTTTTACAAAAATAATTATTATGTCATACATACAAATATATAGGAAAATATAATTTTATATTTAATTGTTCATACATTACCATAAAAAATTTATAATTGTCAAAATAAATTTATAATTTGATACATAAAATTTCGTATTATAATTTTATCTAAATCTAAATAATGATATCAACAAGATTGCATTCTTAAATAAATATTATACAAAGAATATGATAAAATATATTTTGTGAAAATAGTATTTATAAATGAATAATATTTTATTTTTTATGATTTGTAAATTAAAATGAATATAATACAAAGTATGATAAAATATACACATAATACATGTTGATTTCTCTAAAGAATTATAGAAATATATATTGGTTAGTAAGATTTTATAACATAATACAGTTTTGTTTGGTTTGGTTCGGTTTGTAAAATACAAATCGCAAATCGAACCGAACCATGCGGTTCCACGAGAAAATGACCCAAACACATCTGAACCAAATGCAGTTTTTTGCAGTTTCGGTTTGGTTCGATTCAATTTTGCGGTTTTCTATTAGGTCGATTTGGTTTTGAACACCCCTATGCATAACCTTTGTCCAGGTCATACTCTAAAAATTAAAAATAGGTTAATTATAAAAAAATTATTATTATCTTCAAATTACTCGAAATAAGCTGAACGATTCCCTTTTTTTCATTCTTTAAAGTAATTTCTTTTTATCCCTTCAAACGGAACTTAAATAATAATTCCTAACAATTTTCCATTATTCACTTTGTTGTATGGTTGGTTTTGAATTTAATATTAATTCATAAATTATAATAATAAATTAATGTATTGTTGTTTGACTTTAATATAAAAAGGAACCCAAAAAAAGGGGTGTGTGTTTCATTTTCTAACTAACAACTTTCTCTTTATCTTTTTTGAAAAGTGTTCACTGTTAGTCATAGAGTAATTATATTCGAAATTACTTTTTCGATCACAGTTAAAAGTTATAAATGTCAAACTTTTTCGTTGCTGCTCACTCTCTTGCCCATTTGATATTACTTATGAGTCACACTCAACAATCTTCATCATAAAAAACATTAAACTTTTATGAAATGTGAACATTAGGAAATATGTAACAAATTCAAATAGTGTTTGAATTTGTCATTGGTGACTGACTTGATCAACATATTAGCTGCATTATGTAATGTGTGAACCTTCTGAAGTAATATTTGGATGCCAACAACTCTCTGGTCTTGTGGTACCTCACATAAATATGTTTGATGCTTGCATGATACATCCCAATTGTTTGCGAAATAGATAGAACGATGACTATCACAATGCAACTGAACTCTACCTTTCTCAACACTCAACTCTTTCACTAACCTTGTAACTTTGTAATTAATAATGATTCCTTGTCAACTTCAGCTACTGCCATGTATTTTGCCTCAATTGTAGACATAACTATTATGGTTTAAATTGATGATTTCCAACTTATAGGTCCCCGGCAAGAGTAAAGACATACCTTGTTGTATATCTCTTATCATTCAGATCACATGCATAGTCAGAATCCATATATATCCTATAATTGATGGAACACATTCTTATTCAACCAATATCTTTTTCCCTGTGACAGTTGAGTAAGATCTCGTGTCCATTCCTATTCAAGGACTTTATCTCTTCCTCCATAGCAACCATTGACTTATCCTAGATAGATATGTCTCTCGAAAAGTAGAAGGGTCTCCTGAACTGGTGAGAAAAGTATATACTGCTAAGTCTTTAAACTCATTTCTCCATAGAGGCGTAATAAGACGGGGCTCCCTTTCATGCACAAGTTTATAGTCTTGTACTCCACCTGAATCTTGCACAACACTTGAATTTGAGTCTGGTTCATCGTGTTGTTGGGCTATAATCTTCCTTGGAGTCATTGGTAGTACCTCAATGTCTACCTGAATCTTGTCCTGACTACAGTTTTCTACCTCAATATTTGACACAACTATCACATCTGACTTTTTTTACATTGGTTTATCATCAAATACAACACCTATGCTGACAACCACATTCCTCTTAACCAAATCCCATAAATTGTACCCTTTCACACCTTTATTGTAGCCAATAAAGATGCATTGTTTTGACTTGGGGTCAAGCTTAGACCGATTCTCACTAGAAATATGCACATATGTTAGACACCCAAAAATCTTCAAATTACTCTGATCAATGGGGTTACATGTCCACACCTCCTCTACATTTTTTCCATCCAATGAAACTTGTGGTGACCAGTTGACTTGATAGCATGTCATATTGAATGATGTTGCCCAAAAACCTTTTGAAATACCAGCATTAAATCGAAGATACATTGCCTTCTCTGTTAGAGTCTTGTTCACCCTCTCTACAACATCATTATGCTATGTTGTCTTCCTCGTAGAAAAGTTCCACTAGATTTTGTTCTCCTCACTAAAACACATGAACTTCTTACCAATGTATTAAATTCTATTATCAGACCCCAAATACTTTATTTTTCTCCCTGTTTGGTTCTCAACCTAAGTCTTCCACAGTTTGAATTTGACAAAGAACTCATATTTATATTTCATAAAATAAATCAAGACTTTACAGAGAAAAACAATAGTGAATGTCACAAAGTACCTGAAACCTCTAACGAATGACTCTTTTGTAGGCCCCTAGACATCAAAATGGACATAGTCTAATATTTATTTGATCATGTGTTAATCGATCTTGAAACAAACTCTACAATATTTCCAAAGAACAAAATACTTGCATAATCCCATTGTACAACTACGAACACTCTTTAGAAAATTCCTCTTATGTAGTTCTATCATCCCACATTCACTGAGATGACTCAAGCACATGTGCCACATTTTTGTTAAACCATTATCAGTTTTAACAAATGTTACATTACCCATAATTGTGACCCCAAAAAACTTATAAAATGTTGCATGCAGTCCTCCTTGTCATCATCAATGTATCTGAACCCTTGCTAATCCTCATGATGTCTCTATCTCGATCTAACCGTAATAAATAACCATTCGCTTGAACAGTACCTAGAGAAATCAAATTCTTCCTCAATTCTGGAACATAACGCATCTCACTCAATATGCGCACACCATCATCCTCCAAAGAAATTTTAATTTGTCCATTTCCAATGATGGTACAAATTTTATCATCACCTAAATAGACAAAACTAAAGTCACTTAATTTAAAAGAGTTAAACCACTCCCGGTGCAGCGTCATATGGTAGGAGCACCCATAATCAAGGATCCATGCACTAATGCACTTTGCATATGAAACACACAACACATCATCTTCACTGCAGGAACCATCAGACTAAACTACATTTATTGAACTATTGTTGTCTTACTTATTTAGGCAGTCCTTCTTCTAATGGACAATTTGCTTGCAACCATAACATTATGCTATTTTTCTATCCTTGGACTTGAACATCTTTTTCTTTCAAGAACTGTCTGTCTTGCCCTTGCCCTTGCCTCTACCATGGTCTTGACGTCCCTTCGTAAATAAACCTTCACTTGAACTTCCTTCATCCTCCACTACACTTTGACAATGTTGTGTGTGTTACAAAATGGTATAAGAAATAGAATCCAACGTGATTGATTCCTTCCAGTATGCGAGAGTGGTCACGAGTGATCATAAGAGCTTGGTAATGAGCACAACAAAATAATGGTTGTATCCTTATCGTCAATCTTCACACCAATCTATGTCAAATCAGGGGATTTTGTTGTAAGCGTTGGAATGAGCCTGTAAATCGCCTCCTTTTTGCATTTTCAGACTAAAGAGATGTAGTTTTACGAACAATCATGAGTGTCTTGAACACGTAATAATTTTCCAATTTATATCATACATCCTTCAGAGTTGTGAGTTTCAGGATATGATTCATCATGTCATAAAAAATGTAAAGTATTATTAAACTTGCAACCTTCTCCTTCATCTCGTTTCAATCAATGGTTGCAATGTCCGTCTGTTTCTCATCATGAAGTGCCTTCTATAAAACTTGTTGAGCCAACATATCCTTAACCCTCATTTTCCATAAACTAAAATTACATATTTTGTCGAACCGAGTCACTTCGAATTTTACACGTCCATAATTAAGAGTCGTATGATACTAATTGTTAGAACATTAACGCAAATACATATCAGATTAGACAGAAATACACAAAAACTTTGGTCACGTAATTCGGTCAAATTGCCTACGTCTGCAATTATAGAGCAATTATAGTTTTGTCTTATTTATTTGTTCTGGATTTCTCAAATTAAGGTTTCAGTGTTACAAACATATATAGGGATACTAATAAGTCAAACTCAACATAGATTTTTAATGATTCAATGACATTTTTCCTAGTAATGTTCCATTTTGAAAAGGTTTAAATTGTTTTGTAGGTATCAAAAACTCAAAGAAAGAGTCAAAAAAGGAACGTGATAAATTTTTAGGAAGATTCGCAATTCTATTTTCAGCAAATTTTACATCATGATCTTATTTAATAGAGCTTCGTAACTCCGATTGAGGTATGACTTGCAACAAAAGAAATCAAATATCTAAGGCTATAACTTTCATGGATAAGTCAAAGTTTATATTAGACAAAAAATGGACAAAAAATAGTGAGACAAATTCTCAAGCTACAATACTAAATTGTGGAATTGAGTTTTCTCTCAATCCTAAAAGTCCACTATCAACTACTATTTAAAAGAAAATAAAGACGAGAGATTAGAATTATGGGTTTTAAACTGCAAAATTTCCCCACCCTCGCACAATGAACGATTATAGTTGTTCTCTAATGAACTTCTTGTTACCTGAAAAGGCCATCCAACACTTTATTATACAAATAAGTTTTGGCCCCCAATTATCCTCATTCGCGTATAATAAAATCAGACAATGGTCTGATAACCCACGAACCAAAGCGATTTGAATTCTATTAGGCCAAAGGAGACTTCATTTCTCTTGACGCCTATAATTTTCAAGAAGACTCGTGGAACATTTATCTCCTCGAATCCACGTGAACATTTTCTCTATTAAGGGTCGATTTAGTTCAAATGAGGGGAGAGGAGGGATTTTAATGGAGTGAATGGGAGGTGAGAATTTTTCTTTTAATTATATATATGTTTGGTTCAAAAGAAAATAGAGGAAGGGAGGGAAAAGGAGAGATTTTAATTACAAATATGTTAGGTTCACAAGGGGAGTGGAGAGATTTTATTAATAATTTATATTTTTATCTCTATGATCTTATATACTCCATCTGTCTCACAATATGTGTCTTCTTTGAGATTTTCACACTTTTTAAAATTAATGATTAATTGTGTTTATTTCAATGATAAAATGAGTTTCATTTACTATTGTGTTTATTTCAATGATAAAATGAGTGTTCACCAAGCGTTGTTCTCACCTAATAATCGAATTCGGTATTCTCCATATTATGTCCTTAGCAAGAGCTCCTTTATCACTAGAGCCCAAACTACTTGATTATTTCATAAATATTTTTTTGACAACAAAATTTGTAATATTGAATAATTAAAAAAGTCATCATTTACCCCATAACATTAAAAAAAATTAAATACATTTAATTTGTATAATAACCTTCCGCTTCAAATTAAATTATGTGTTATAATAATTAAATAAGAAATACATATTACTAGAATCCCAAAAAGTTTATCAACACATGATTTAATTTGTGACCGAGAGTTATAATATGAGTTAAATGTATTTAATTTATTTAATGTTATATGGTAAATTATGACTTATTTAATTATTCAATATTACAAATTAGAAATCGTTTAATTCAATGTAATGAATGATTTAAAATTTGATGCTCTCCGTTTCTTTTTAAGTGTCGTTTTAGAATAATTTTTTTATTTCTATTTAAGTGTCGTTTTTATAATTTAATGTTATCATTTGTCAATTATATTCATACTTTCTCAATAACTCCACTTCAAATTTTCCATAAAATTAATTATTTTCTCAATTAATTATTGGAAAAAGAGAGATGGTATATGATTGAATTTATTTGGAAAGAGAAAATAAACGAGGGTATAATAGAAAAAATAACTCTAATAACTCACTATCTTAGTTGAAGAGTTTTATGCTAAAATGACACTTAAAAAGAAACAGATGAAATATAAAAGAGAATATAATAGAATACATAAAAAAATAGAAGAAAAAAAAAACTAACATAAATAAAAAAGAAAAATAAAATTTATAATAAAAACAAAAAAAAATTACAGTAAATATAATTAATATTAAATAAATAAATAAATAAAGAGGAAAATATTAAAAGTTAATAATAATTATAATAAATTGATGAAAACAATAAAGAAAAATCATATAAAAGAGAAGGAAGAACAAGAAGAAAAAAATAATTTTGAAATAATAAAATAAAATTAAAAATATTTTAATAGATATAATAAATTATTAATTATTAAAATTCATGATTTCTCCCCCTTCTCCTCCAAATTCTTCTATTCTATGGAGGCAAGAATTTTGATTTCTTTCTTTCTTTTTCTTCGTAAAAGTTGAATTAAATATATTTAATTAAAAATATCTCTTTTCCTCTCCCCTCTCATTCCTTTTATCTATCTGGAGCTAAACATACTCTAAAAATTGACCGATCAACTAAAATTTTAAATGAATTTTGAATGTACCGATTGAAGAGGCATAAATCCTCTCTTCTAACACACTCTTGCTCTACGCCAAAGCACAAATAACGTTGTAATCCTCGTATACATGGAGCATAAACATTTACCACATAAAACTACTTATCATCCCCACTCTTAAATTTCCCTTCAATAATAAACACATTCTTCAAACTAATGGAGAATTAACCAATAATCGAAAGAAACATCACACATGCTAAGAATTCTACATGATGCTCCGAGGGACGGTTTATATAAGAAATACATATTACTAGAATCCCACAAAATTTTACCAACAATCATCCACCGCTTCAAAATTAGTAAAAAGCTGTTGATTTTATTTTTTTTATGGTAATTTATCTCAAAATTTTCCAACAAATAGTTATAAAGCAAATATTAATCACTTAGTTATTAATCGATTTTGTATGATTAATTAAAATTAACCAAAAATCTAAGACAAAAAGTTAAGTTCATCACTAATTGATTCTAATTTCTAAACAAAACAAACAATATTTTTAAATGTAAACATTTAAACTATATTTGCAACAAACTCATCATGTATTTTATTTTAATAATTAAGTATAACAAGAAAAATAATACAAATTTTAACCTGTTTTTGCAGTTTCTATCGTTGCATGAGCCACGAGGAACCTCTACGTGAACTAGGTGGACAAGAAATTAATTGAAACAAATTAAATTATACTTGTCTCTAGTGATGAGTTGTGGGTAGGCAATTGCAGTATATTTTTGTGAGTTCACTTACAGGTTTTGAAAAGGTAAATTAAAATAAGTTAACAATTATTTAAATATTAAACTTAATACTTATATTAATAGAACAATTTTCAAATGTCATGTCACGAGAGTAATAGAATATACCTATGTCCATTATAGACCACCTATGATGGTTGTTCATACTCTGATTTTCCTATTAATATACACTTTTTATTTTGGCTTTTGGGTAGCCATAGCAATAGCAATTTCAATCTATGAAAGAAAGGAACACGCCCTTAAATAGATATCACGGGTACTTTAAAAATTTATTTTTAAAAAAAAACATGACAATTATCATTATATAGTCACACACCCTTAAATAGATATCTCGGGTACTTTGAAATTAAAAAAGAAAAACATTGCAATTATCATTATATATGGACAACTAGGACGGAAAGAAAAACTGTCAAACTAAAATTAAAAGGACTGAATCATTATATTTTATTAGTGAATTGATATATTCCACAACAATTATAATTGATATTGAAAAAAAAAATATTAAAAATAAATTTAAAATATTTCATTAATTATTTTTGAAAAAGCTACTTCCAGTGTGCATGTTATAGAGAGATATTAGAAATATTGATATATAGCGTAGGAATAAGCATCTTTGTAGAGACACACCACTTATCCATCTAAAACATTAAGGTAATAGATGAGTGGATTCTCCAACTTATATATACTTAAGTCTCCACATTTTCTATCTAATGTGAGACTATTTTCCCCATTTACTCACATTTACTATATTATTCCAACAAATTTAAAATAAATAAATTATAAAGCAAACTCTTTTTTAACCAAACTTATATTTACGAATTTCTTCACCTGTATTACAATGAGTGTCACATTTACGATAGAATTATTGAATGGCAATGGAATAGAAGTTTAAATAAAGAAAAATAATAACACGAAATACATGATTGAATAGAAATTTGCACATTAGTTTTCTTTTTACATTAGAATCAATTATTTAAATGGAGTTTTAGGCAAAATGCTGATTTTGCTAAATTGCCTCTATAAATCCACATTCATTGAACAAGAGAAGAAGGGAGATTAAAGAATGTACAAATCAATTGTCAGGAGAGTGTGGTTAAGCATCGTCTGCATCACTTCCACCATGTGCTTCATGGCTGCCCCAATAATTACTTCCATCAGGACCTAATACTTTGAACCTGACCAAAAAAAGCAAAAACTCCCATAATCCCCGACATACTTAAACTACTAAAAAACAATGTAGCTCAGACACTTATTAAAAATGTGTCCGGTGTCTGAGACGTGTCAATGTTAAACTCTCACATGACTCAAACATGTGTTTTTATACTCAATTTCTTTCATTTTTTTAAACTATTATCAATGTCAATGTGTCACTCGTGTTAATGTGTTTGAACTACATAGCTCAAACAACATCACAATGTCGAATGTGTCAGTGACGTGTTTGATGTATTTGAGCTTCAGAACTCAAACGACATCACACTACATTCAAGAATGTTTTCTCAAAAATCAATTCTACTAACCGCTCGATAACGGATTTTCCTTCTTTGTATTTCTGGCTTTTTTCATGAGCAGTGATCTGAAAGAAACCAAATGGGTAACTCAATGCATCATAGAACCAGAAAACAAAAGCAAAATTTCTCAGACACGCGCCGAGATAAGTCTTACATAAGTCCAACCGACAACTGATCCACAACCAACACAGAAAATGTCAGCCACGGTATGCATCCCAGTAATCATAGGTCTGTCCTCTTTTTCCCCAACAGAAACATTCGCGCTGTAAAAGCATACAACATTTTAAACTATATCAGCAAACAGAACCAACTGCAAAATATAATGCGGCCAGAACTATATGGGTTCGGAAGCAAGAAGCGTATCAATAAAAGAACATAACTAACAGAACATCGGTTTCGGTTATCAGAAATGACAGTGATAAAGAACAGATATCAAGGATTACTTACACCTTACGAAAGAGATAAGCTTTCCCATGTCTGGAGTGGAAAGCCTGAATAAAACAGCACAAACATTTTTCAAAACCGATAGCGAATTGTCGGTACCAACTAATAAACACCATTAAAACATCAAAAAAGGATCAAAGTTTGGAAAACCTTAACACTTTCAATTTAACCAGGCCTAAAAAGTTATTTATTCATTTGCACATTGACCATTAACAAAAGTATGATTCATGAAAAACCAAAATCTGAATAGAATGGCTTTTCAAGTTTTCATAGCTCCTTACTGAAATAGGCCCAACAAGCACAACATGCATCATAATCCAACTATCAAAGGTTTTAAAAAACGGTTGTTTTCGCTGCTGCGACAAAAAAGTATCGGAAAATACCCATTTTTATGTTAAAGAACAATTGCAGTTAATTCACACCGCGCATGTATCAACCGAAATCGCAAAAGCCTTAGGCAACGTCAAACTTGATCATCATACACTGATACCGTGATTATTTCTACCCAAATCCATCTAACATGTTCAAATTTTTGCATAGACTTTGACAGAATCATAGTGTATGATCTTGATTTTATCAAATTCAAAGTAAATTCAAAGATAAATAAAATTAAAATCGCAGAAAAAAAAAAACAGATAACAGGATTAACAATCGAACCTTTGAAACTATATCTTCAGAAACAGCAAGATGAGTTCTACAGTGTTTACAGCTATAGATCCTCCCTTCAAGATGAACAACAAACAACCTCCCCATATCTCAACCACAAAAACTCCACAAATCAACTTCACAAGATCAAAAACAGTTTTTTAGGGTCAACGTGAAAATCAACAAATACACAATCGAGATTAAAGCGAAAAAGAAGAGGGTGAAGAGAGAAACGGTTGAATTGAATCTTACCTTGGTTTGGTTATGGAAAGAAGAGTACGCAAAAGGAGTTGCAAGAAATTTGGAGAGAGAATGAATCAAACATCGCTTTTTCTGAAAAAGTAGTACCCGACAAGATGCGTGTTATGTTTAGTTTTATTTTTACAATGTTTTATTTTTTGTTTAATCATTAATGCAACATGGTTTATTTGCTATACTTTGCGTGCAAAACAAAACAAAACTCTTACATCTTCTACTATACATTTTCTAACATTTTTTATTTTTTTATCTCTCTCTCTATTATATATATATATAAAAGGTCTCTCTATTTTATATTTTTCGATTTTAGTCCCTCATTTTAAAAATTACGATTTTGGTTCCCTTTTAAATTTTCTATTGAAAAATGAATAAAAATAAGAATTAAAATTACCGGAAAAAATAAAATAAGGAGACGAAAATTACACAAAAAACATTAAAAGATGACTAAAATATTGGTTTTTAAAATGGAGAGATTAAAATAAATAAAAAATACAAAATAGAGGGACCAAAGAATGCCACATCTTTCAACATATCACAAACTTGCTCAAGTATAAATAAACGGATACATAACACACTTTCGGATGAACCGACAACATCATCAACATAGTGCTCAAACTTCAACTTTATTATTGCAGCGGAAAAAGAAATCATATTTGTTATTCAACATCTTCAACCAATCATAAACCAACATTTAATCAAATAAAAGAGAGTTTATAATACTCCCACAATTCTTCAAAATAAAACAACAACTAAGCAAAATAATCAAGGATTCATCCCCCGGTGTTACGTATAAGAGCACAACGCCGACTCGAAATAAATGACAATTAACATTGTCTACTGTGGATCACCTACACGTTATCCACGTAGAGACAACATTCAAACTGAAGGGGTGGGATATCACAATAATATAATAGATTATATAATCATAGGTATACAACAGATATATCACGCAAGATTCCAAGCTCAACAATCATCAATTATAATTCATAATGATTATACAAGTATGTTGTACCCCAAAATTTGCCATCTCATTTCATCAACATTTTCTCATCACAAGACTCTTGGAGTTCAAGATCAAACTAGGGTTTGCTCTGCTCAAGACCCCTCCTTGCATTGTTGACCCAAATTAGGGTTTGAGTTTGCACAGGGATGTTTTAACCTAAAATGCCCAAAGTGACTTTCATGCTTCATGTTGGACTCACAAGTTTGTCCTTACCAAGTTTCAAGCCTTGATTCAAATTTTTGCCCAGTCAATTGGACAGTTGACCTAAAAATCAACTGTATTGGGGAAAAAGTCAACTGTAGCCAATGGACAGTCAAACATCATGAAATTTGACCCACATCAACATTATGAACTCATATATATCATTTGATCAAATTTGGACCATAATTCCACAAGAAATTGGATTAGATCACCAAAAGGGCAAAATGGTCATTTTTAGGGTTTTGACTGCACAAAGGTAAATTTTTGACTGTTTGACCTAACCAATGGCAAACCAAGCTCACACATGGACTCAAGGACTCAATGACATTGTCTTGACCCATTCAACAAGTTCAAAAGATCTCAATTGCATAGGATTGACAGATGAATTTTTCAGTCAACTGATCAAAATTTGACTGTACACTGAAAAGTCAAACTTTGACTTTTTGGTCAAAATCAAGTGCCAAGAGTTATTTTTCATCAAGACATGTCAATTTATGAAACTTGCTCATCAAGAAACCCAAAAATGCAAATTAGGGTTTAAGATGGAAAAATTTCATAACTCAGAAATTTTCTAAGTTATGAAATTTTCTTATTTTTTCCTAACGTTGTCCCATTTTTCCATCAAGATGAAAATGGATTCAAACAAAACTTGAAACATGAAAGTTGTAGTCCATTGCAAAATCTATAACTTTTATTCACAAAGTTTTCCCAAAGGAAGCTTGCATCTCAAGTTATGATTTTTGGAACAAGGGTACAAAAAACTTTTAACTTAGAAGAAATTTGCCCTAATCTAGGCAGGATTTTGGCCCATCTTCTTGGCCATTTTTCACATAGTTACACTTAGAGTTTCAAGTTGAATTACAAAGATGGATTGTAGTACATGTTCCAAGCTTTCCAAATTGTCTAAGAACTCCTCAAACACCCTTGTGGTTAGAGAGAATCAAATTCACAAAGTTGGCCAAAACTCACTTTTGTTCATGACCAATACATGTTCATAGCAAATTGCATTTTCAAATCAGCTTGGTTTATGCTAGCTTGCAGGCCTCAAAACCAACTTACACTCCATAATTTAATGTCTAACCATTGTGTTAAGGTGTTATCTCATCCATTTAGGCATTACATGCAAGATTAAGCCTTAAGTAGTAAAAATGATTTTGCCATTTTTGCAAAAGTAGCTTTATGTCAAACCATTATGCATTGAGCCTTGGACAAAGATCTGAGATTGCAAATCAAATCCAGGGATTAGAGGGGGCCTAGAGGCTTTTTTTGCAGTATACAAGATGGCTTGTACAGGCCTTTGACACTTACACACTTTCTTTGCTTCACATAGAAGAAACATTGCAAAACTGAACCAACTCTCATTTCCTGTGAACACAAGCCAAAACAAACTTTGTGAACAACTTCCATACACCAAAATAGACCTAAGGCACGATTCATTGATCCCTCATACCTCCTAATACCCCAAATCACTGTTTTGCTGCAAAAACAGGGCACCCCCTGCAGATTGAGTTGCACAACTTAGTTTGCTCGTGTGTTCTGGCCAAAACAAGTTCAAACACATTCCACACCATCCACCTAAACTATTCCAAACCTTAAACACCAGCTGTAACACCTCTAACCTCATTTGCCATTTTCATTTTCCAGCTTTGCAGGTGAACTTCTACAGCACGATACAGGGTGTTTCAAAGCAAGCCAGGAATTGGAGAAGCTTCCTTGGACCTCAGGCAAGCTCTATAGAAGCTCAAACTCCATTGAAGGTTGCTATATTGCTCTACACGATTCAAGCTGAAACAGGTAATCCATGGACTTCTATCTCTCTATCTAGGAAGAGTTAGGCTTAGGTTTGTGAATGAAACATGTCCTACTTATAGCCCTGAAGCCATACATGTGATCATTTTTCATTTATGTTAAGTGTGCTGTGAGAATTTTAGCCATGAACATGTGAAAAAAGTTAGGTTAAAAATTAGGGCCAGAGAAATTCTCTCTGGTCTTTGAGAGTTAATCCAAGTTTTTTACATGTTTGAATTCGTTATTTGATGCTCTACAATGTTTATGTTATGAGTTTTGTCAAAAAATCAAAGAATCGGGAGTTGGTGTTTGAACAAGGAAGCGCGCGTGTTTTGACAAAGTTGGAGGTTGAAGATGATGGCTTGGGCTGGGCCTGAGTCATCTTTGCTTTTTGCACCCTTTTTTTCAGTTTGCACCCTGTTGTACCCCAAAATTTGCCCTCCCATATTCTTCAAAGATTTGCCAAGTCAAAGCTGCAAAATTCCCCAAGGGTTGCACAGTCAAAGATCTCCTATACAGTCAAAATTAGGGTTTGTGTTCTGGTCAAGAAAATGAAGTTTTCAAAGGTCCAATCAAGTCTCACATACCTACAAATATGGTCAAGCATCCTCATATCAAGTTTCAAGGCATTCAGCTCAAAATTGCACAGTCAAAAAACCTAATTGCACTACAGTCAACTGTAGGGGCAAAATGGTCATTTGACAGTCAAAAGTTCAAATTTTTGGTTAATATATCATTTTGAAGCCACAAACATCATTTTATCAATGCTTGATCATGATTCTCAAAACTTGGCTCAAGAATCATCAAATTGCAAAAAGTTTCCTTATTTGGACAGTTGAAAAAGTCAACTGAAATTGACCAAGGCATAACTTTCACATGGATTATCAGAAAAATTCCATCCAAAGCTCATTTTGAAGAGAAAGACATTTCCTACAACTCATATTCATACTTCAAGTCCAAGAAATGCTCTCACAAAAAGTTATCAATTTCAACATTATAGGTCATTTTCAAAAGTCAACAAAAAGGGACTTTAAGTCAAAGGCCATAACTTGAGATTGGTAAATCAAAATGACATGGGACCAAAGAAATTGGTTAGAGGACTCAAAGACCTTTCCAAAATGTCCAAGAACATGAGAAAAGCTTAAACATTGAGCAAGTTATGCCTTGTGGAAGTTGGGAAATTTTTGGATATTTTGAAAAGTCAATATTGATTCAAATGACCTAAAATTGCTAATGGGCCCATTTTTCTTCCACAATTTATCATTCCAAGCATGTGCACGACCACTTGGCCCAAAGGGAAGTATTTTCTCATTTTTTATTTATTTATTTGAATTTTTATTTATATTAATTCATTTAAATCATTTAAATATATGAAAAATATTTAACTTAACCTAACCAATCTTTTCATACATGTTTTAGCCTCAAGATTTCGTGTATATGCAAATAAGGAAAGATTTGAGTTGATTGATCATGATTGAGAACAAAGAGCACATGGAAGAATATTTGAAAAAGATCCTAGAAAATCAATTTTCAAAATCAATGAATGCAATGGATTTGATTGAGTTTTTTTGACCTAATGCACTCAATACAAAAGCCTGATCACAACCCTAATGAGAATACACGCATAGCTGCTCAAGAAAGCCATTCACAAACTTGAAAAATTGTCAAAAAAGTCAATTCTGAAAACATCCTTCCAGGGCGATTCAAGACCTAATTCTTGTTCCATTAGCTTGCTCAAAGGTCATTGGACATATTCCAATCAAAAACAACAATCAAAACGCAAGGAATTGGTATACAGCATTCCAAATATTTCATGAAAAACTCATAATCGTATTCTCAAATTTAGGCATTTTCATAA